TACCTTAAATGGAGAAGAATTAAGTGCTCCAACCAAGGGATGGAGAGTCTGAAAGGATAAGAAAACAAAACCCCTACATATGAAAAGGGGGGGAATGGAAAAAGATATTGCTGTGATGAACCTAGAAGGTATTTCAGTCAAAGATAAACATTATATGATTTCACTTATATGCGGAATTTAAGGAATAAAAAGAACAAACTAATCAAAAACAGACTCACAAATATAGTGGACAATTTGGTGATGGACAGAGGGGAGGGGGCTTGGGGGGCTGGGAGAATGGAGTGAAGGGTTAAAGAAGTACAAATTAGTAGCTGATGGATGGTCACAGGGATGAGAAGCATGGCATATGGAATGCAATTAGCATTAATACACTGGCTAGGTGGAGGGTAAGGGGAGGGAGGGAGCAATTGGAGGGATCATTTTACTAACTATATAGATGTCTAACTAATGTACTGTATACTTGAAACTAATTAAAATTTAAAAAGTTAAAAAAAAATAACATCAAAATGCAGGAAGAGGTTAAACCCAGAACTAACCTGTGATTACTTTTGTATGTACCAAACCCAACATCAGAGATTTAGTGTTAACAACAGCATGAATAACTTTAAAGAGATGATGCTAAACGTGAACTTTACTGGCTTTATAGATGTCTTTGCATTTAATGCTGTAAAAATATCTTGGCTTAACGCCACATTCAGAAGAATTTTACATATAATTTTTGTAACATATTCAAGTAAGGTTAATAAGAGCCCTCCTTATTTCCTCACAGGCCCCTCTCCTTTAGCGGCCCCAGGTTTTTCCTCAGCCCCATCTTCCTTCTCACACTCTGTCTCCTCTAGTGACTTCATTCACACCCACAGCTTTAATGCTACTGATAATTAAATCAGCAACAGCAGTCTAAACTTTTCTCCTAAGCCCCAAGTCCAAACTACCCATCATCTTCACTTAGATAACCTATGGCAACTCAGAGACATCTAGAACTGACATCTTCTCTGACAACTTTTTGCTAAGTTCTAGATTTCTGTTAATGATACAAACATCTATGGACATGGGAATCAGTAAGTCATCTTCCTTTACTATGAAACCAAAGGTCATAAGTCTCTCAGCTCCAGTCCCTCACCTCAGTTTGCCAGCCACTCTTGCATACATCACTGTAGTTTACTCCTGTGGACCTCCCTGTCTCCGGTCCTTTCATGCACCATATTGCCATCAGAGTGATTAAAAAAAAATTGCAAATCCAACCATGTCACTCTAGGGCTCCTTTCAGTGTTTCCTAAGGGTAGGGATGTGCCCTTGCTTCTGTCTCTCTGAAAATGCTTTAGCAGAGGCCTGGGCTGGTTGCGGGGGAGGGGTCACAGAAGCAAGACTGAATTAGATATAGTCTAGTGCCTGGTGAACATCTGGTTAAGCGAGCATCTGGGCAGCTCCTATGCCCCCCACACACCTGTGCTCCCACACTCTCACTGCATACCCCCATCCAAGGAAGGCTGGGCATCAGGCAGTGGGCTGAATCACGTGGAGGAGCTGTCCGCACTTACCTGTTCTAGCTGCTCCCTGATCAAAATGATTTACAAAAGTCCTGAGCAGGCTGTGGCCTGATATATCAGATAGCTGTGCTCTCTCATCTTAATGCCTTCATTGCTTTCAACTACCTTTCTCTCTAGCCTGGCATCTTTCTATGCAAATTATTAAGCTTACAGTTTTATAGTGTTATGGAAATTATTATAAATTGTTGACAATAAAATAAGCACATACTCTTCTTAGACTGTAGTTCTTGATTTTTACCTGGCTACTCTGCCAAAGTGTGGACCCCATGAGGCAACAGTCCTAACGCCTGGCATAGTGCAGACACCTAGAACGTCCCCTCACAACACAAATAAACGGGCTCCTAAAATGTTTTGTAGCATCTCTATGTTAGTATTTATCAAACTGTGTAGTAATTTTGAATTTCCTCTCTGTCTTACCCACTTGAAACTGAGTTCCTGAAGGGCATGGATGCTGCATGCAGCATTTTCTTCTGAATCCTTGAGACCTAGCATACAGTAAATGCTGAATAAAACAGAGGAAAAAGCAAAGAGGCAAGGAATGACAGAGCAATTGGTTTGGAAAGAGAAAACTAGAAGACAAAAAATAACACCCAAAGAAACTGGGGAAAAAGCAGCAGGCAGGAAAGGGAAGGCGGTAAGGGTGGGGTGGGGAGGACAGACTGTAACTCCTTACACACAGCTGATAACCAGCAGCAGTTTGGACACACTCTGCAGGTGGAAACCATTGGGGTTGTCCTCGGGGATATGCCGTGTCTGTGTAGAACCTATAGGGAAAATAAAGAGGCTATCACCATCATGGCCCCCAAGACCACCAAGTGCAGATGTGATAATGGTCATGCACAGAACTTCAGGGAATGATGGAGAACTGTCTGTGATGATGTCAGGGCAATAATGCAATAGATGTACCCAGCCTTCCAAAAGTAGAAAGTAAGCTCCTCAAGGGCAAGGTCATGGGTTGGGTCAGGCAAGTGAGTATTGAAGTCACTGAACAAATGAGAAAAATCAACAGATCTATGTAGCTACAATACACAGATGCAGGAAAAAGTGATCTGCAGCTGTGGAAGGGGAAACAGTACTGTGCTAGGAGACAGCTTTCAGCTCTGGCTTTATCCATACTGCTACATGGTGTTGAGCAAGTCAGAGAACCTCTCTTCAAGTCAGTTTATTCAAATGCAATGTTAAGTGAGAAATTCCATATGTGAAACACATAATGTGGGAGTGCTCTGGTGAAAGCTGGGGGAAGGATCATAGAAAGCTGGCACTCTCCTGCTCTGCTTCTGCCTCCTTTCCTGTCTACATCCAGCTCTGATGAATGCCCAGGTAAGTGCAGAGAATATTCTGAAAAATACTGGATTGGTTAGCTCCTAAGACCTCGTATAGCTGTAGGTTTCAATGACTGAGTAAGGACATGAGGTTGTGAATGCCTGGATGGGAAGGAGACATATCAAGGGCAGGTCCTTGGTGGGTCCATGGGGGTCAAGCGAGGGGGTGCTGCTTGGACTCCCTGATCTTTTTGTCCTGAGGTAATCTCTGGAGTCTGAGCTCTCGCTTCTCTATGGTGCATCTCCTAAGAACTAGGAAGCTGTATACTTGAGTCTATCCAGGTAGATATGGAGCTTAGGCAGCATGGAGGCATAAACCCAAAGGCAACTTTTTTTTTATCAGAGCAAACACGGGCTCAGCAGAAGCTGAAGAACTTAAAGGCCAACAGAAATAGGAAGAGCATCTGGAGCCTTAGATTTAATGGGTTATGTGCAAACTATATACAATCTATACCCAAAGTACAAAATGAGTGTGTAAGAGTGCACCTTGGCACAGGCATGTGGCTCCAGCCCAAAGCCCTAAGCCACACCAGCCGTCCTCACCCCGCACACACCTGCCACATGCTTAATCCTGTGGCCCACATCTTCATCAGTGGGTGTGGTAACGGGGCTCATCACCTCTTCCAGGTGAGGCACCCGTAGGTGGGCATGGGGACGCTTCCTCCTCCGCATTGTTGGAGGCTTGCTGGCTTTCTCTTTGGGAGACTGTCTGTGCATCTCAGCCAGGTAGGTGCTCTCCGTTTTGGTCAGCTCACTCTCTGTCAGAGACAAAAAGGCCACATCAGAGGTTATCTGCCCATACCTCCAACCCAATACACTGGACTCCAGAAGCAAGTGTCTACTCCTAGCTGAGCCCTCTTTAAAGGAAACATTTTCCATACTGTATGCTGATAGGGAAGGCAGTGGTCCCTCAAGGATGTCCATGAGTCTATAGAAGTACCACAGGGACCAAGTCCGAACCCTTCTTCTAGGCTGTTGAACATTGTAAAGAGACATAGATTCCTGACATCTGTACCCCTTATGTATATAATTTGGGGCATATCATATTTCCTAACAGATGCATTCACAGGCTATTTCCTTTCTATAACAGAATTATTACCAGTGTGACTGATCTGAGGTTCTTTTTTGTGGGGGGGAAGGGGTGGCAGTCATAGATCCCTTAATGACCTCATAAAAGTTACAGGTATAGCATAGTCTCTGGAAAAATGCACATGTTCACATACATGCCGAATTTTGTATCCATTTCTGAGGCAGACTTAAGAACCCCATGAAACCCCTTCGCTGTCTCAGTCTCTCTCCCGATTCTCCATGGTCTCCATTGCCCTGAATCATAATGGCAGGTATTTTATGGAGTTCTACAGTTCAGTCAGTGATGATTATCAGTGATGATTATAGCAATCACCTAAGTGGCGGAAGTAGTCCTCCAGTCCACTCCAGAAGTTCTTCTCAATGAAAGTTTTCACTAACCCCCAGGGCTGTTTTCGGTAGCGCAGCTCTGTGGAGACCCTGAGGAATAAGCCAAAAGCAAGATCAGCCATTTCCTGAGCAGACCCTCCCTGCTGCAAAAAGGAAAGTTTGGGATTAATTTCAAAGCGGCTTCACATCTGTGCTGCACTTCTCAAGGTAAAACGTCCTTTCACATTCATCAAGTCACCTGACATCCACGGCCACCCTGAGGTTAGTGAAGCTAGTGGATTTGTCCTCATTTTTATAAGTGAGAACACTGAGTTTTAGAATATTTAAGCAGACCAAAGGCTAACAACAAGGGCTCTGACTCCAAGCTCAGAGAGATTTCATGATATCACACTGCCTACTCCCAGAAAGGCTCCAGATGGTGCCAAACAGCCTATTGACCAGCCTTGGGGATCCTTCTCTCCTCTAGCGACTTTTAAGCGCAAGTCAGGCTCTAGGTTTTCATCATTTCCACCTGTAAAGTCATTTGCTACAAGCCCTGGCTCCTGCCTCTTCACTCTACCTAGGGCCTCACCAGCTCTTGCTTTTTTCCAAGTATCCCCTCCTCTAATCATGAGCCTCTCTACTGCCAATAGCTCTTGCAGTATCAGCTCTGTCCTCTCCTATACAACATATATGCTCTTTGACTCTCCTTAGGGTTCATTTTCCTCTGTCAATAGATTCTTCCAGTTTATGCTCCCCATGTGTAAGGCTGCCTGCCCTGCCCTCGACTCCTTCCTCAAGGACACTAGCTCCACCCATGGCCTGAGGTGAGCGTGCTTACACCTGGGGCCACCTCACCGCCCCCCCCCACTCCCAGAAAAACCACCTTTTACTGGATCAAGGGTAGGAGCCCTCTGTAAAGGTCTATCTGAGGTCAAGTTACCTCTGTGTGAACTAGACAGAAAGAACATCCAATCAGAAGCTCCTTCAAGGAAGCTGAAAATGAAAAACCTAGACATTGTGGGGAAAAGAATTGGGGGAGAAAAGAGGGCGAAGAGAGAAGAGAGAGAAATAAAGGAAGAGATGGGTGGGGGAGGAAGGAGTAGATGCTCAGAGAGCACACAGAAACCAAAAAAAAAAAAAATTATTTTAATATAATAAGAAAGATACAGGCACTTTCTGAGTGTGAGTATTCAGATCTTCCTGATTCCTGAGAGATCTCTCTGAAGCCTTTCACCAAACATCTATTTGATTTGAACTACCTGAGTGATGTTATGACCTGTACAACCAAAAGAACTTGGTCTAAGATACAGGACTATAAACTGGTTATTTTCAAATGGGTGGGTATCTTGATGTTTCAATTAGCCCATAAGCTTCTTAAAATGTCAGGGTATAAATTTTTTCCTTCCCTGAATGCACATCACAGTGCCTAGGACAGGATTCTATCCACAAACAGCATTCTAATTATTCGTTCGATGAACATTTTCAGGACTCTGATATGTGCAGGTCCTGGGCTGAGTGCTGGGAATAAAGCGATGAGTGGACTGGGGTTCCTGTGTGCCAGGAGCTCACCATCTGACAGGGAGACAGTGGTAAATCACAATATACATGGTGTGATGAAAAGAGCACAGGTTTGCATTTCTAGACCTTGGTTTCAGCATTTACTGGTGATATGACTCTTGGCAAAGTTACTTGACTCATATGATCCCGTTTTCTGTTCTGAAAAATGAGGATAAATCCACCTCCTTGGGTCATTCAAAAGAATGTACTTTAAACACAGTACTTTATAAACTATAAGCAATCAATAAATAGTAGCAGTTATAAAAGTTTTACTAAAGACATGTGCAGAGCAGTAAAGAGAACACATGGTAGAGAGAATGACCGTCAGAAGAGAAGGGGGGGCGGGGTTTTCAGAGGCTTCAGAAAAAAAGGTAGAATAAAGAACGAGTTAGCAGGCCAAAACTCCCAACATCCTCCCCCTCCCTCCTCAGGAGCAAACAAAATGTTCCCTAATGTAAGGACTCCCAGACACTTCCTTCCAGAAACTTCCTCTGAGCCTGCTCAGGCTCTGACACACTGCACCTGAGTCGGCTCTTGTTCCGGGCCACACGTGTGAGTGTGTAGCGGTTGATGGTGTAGAAGTAGTCGTGGTACGGCACGTCGTGGGTGAGGACCTCGGCGTCTATCACGTAACACTCACTCTCCTGGCTTGCCTTGTACATGGTCTGTGGAAGGAAAGGTCCGCTAGACACAACTCAAGAGAAGAGAGATGAGGAGAGAGCCTGCTTCCCCAGCTTCCCACTCCACTCCCAGCTTCAGAACGCAGGACCCGGAACCACTGGAAATGGCATCTAAGCCTGTGCGATGCTACTGCTACAGGGCTAAACGACACCAGCACACAGGCACTTCCTCCTGACATCTGTCCTTAACCCTTCATGACAGAATAGAGCTTTCCCGGCCCACTCCTATTGGCCTCTGCCCTCTCCTCACCTGCGTCTCCCTGACAGTGGCAGTTTTGGGAGCCAGAGGGTTGGTAAGTGTGATGGTGTAAAGAATCACTCGGCTCTGGTTTCCATTCTCTTCCTTTTTCCATGGATGGAAGATAATATCTGAGAGTAGAAAAGAGCCCTGGAATAAGGGAGGGAAGCAGCATGCCTTCCCCACGTCTGAATGTCCCCTGCAAGTGAACTTGTCTTGACTGTACTAAATGCTGACAAAAGGAAGCCAATGGGAGACTGAAGGCCAGAGAAGGAGGGTGGGAGGAGGGGGAGTCAAAGCAGAAAGAGGTTCATTGTGGCACTGCCGAGATTCTACACAGGACTCCAAAATGCTGATTGTTCCTAGGGCTGGGGCAGGAAGTCTTGGGGCCACCTACGGGGACGCTAGCAACACTGGAGTTACTGTGACAAGGGCCTGGGATCCTTGGGAATGAGTCTTCTCTAAGGCATGACCTCCCTGTGCCCTCAGCAGGCCCTCTTCTCCTAGCAGTGGGAACCGCTGATGCCTAAATGCTCTTTCAGAGACACAGATGCTTAGCAGCTCTGCTGGGTCAAAGCTGTAGACCCTGCCATGAGGCAGAACTCTAAGATTCCTAGAACTGAATCCCACAACAGCCCCTTAGCTGCGTGAACTTGGGCAAGTAATAATAGTGTGAGTTCCAGTTTCCTCATGGGTATGGTGGGGATCCCACACTCACACACAGGGCAGATTTACGGATTAAATGAGATAATGTAACATGCTTGGCATGAAGCAGGTGCCTATCAGTAAGTGGTAGCTGCTACTATTTACTAGATGGTGAGCCCAACAGGCCTAGCACCAGCTATCTGGTGCACGGTGGGCGAGCGTTATACTGCAGAGTAGGGA